TAATTTTATTTTGAAGCATAAATGCAATAGATCGAAGTAAAAAGCTAACGTATAAACAAACAACATCACGGTCGCATGGCTGCGCATCAACACCGCTAAGCTAAAGGTAGACTGGTGTTCAGTGTTTTGACATTCAGTAGTCTCGTTTGGACATTTGTTAGCTTCCGCCTGTTTTTATGACACATAAAAGCTTCACACATTTAGGAGTGGGGTATTTCCTGACATATTATAAGTCATAGTACAACATGAGAACATTCTGATAAACCACTGCTTGTCCAGCCACACGTAACCTACAAACAAAGTAAGTAAGTAACTGATGAACATATACCTGGAGACTCCAGGATGAACGCAAATAATGTTCTGTGTTTGATGGAAGTGCTACTGTTTTCCAACACGTTAACCACATTAGCTTTACAGTATGTAAGGTTCCTACTTCGCATTGGCGTCCTGCCTTTATATATTCAGGGTGTTTCTCAATCGTGAGTAAAGCTGCTATTTCAAGCATACTACGTCATTGAGTGCCGCTGAAGTACTGTTCCAATGTCCAGCATACTTGGAAATCTACCAAGCCTGGCGTACTTTGTTTGGAGAAATTTCGAGGCTGCACATGTGTAGACTCCGCGGTCTTAAAATCCCCACAATGCTTTGCGCACGGACCAATTTCCCCAAATCTGTGGCGGAAAATGTAAGGCGGGGCCTCTCATATGAAGCACACCTACACACTTGCTAGCCTGTTCCAAACTTTGTTTTCCAAATGCCAGGAAGTATTCTTGCCTCGCTTCTGAAGCAAGACGCTCGGAAGACTTGTGCTACCAAGCAAGCGTACTTGAGATTGAGAAACACCCACAGTCTGTGTCCTGCTCACCCTGTCAAGGTTTCTTTCGCTGATGACCAACTCACTGCATATCATCCTGTTACATTAGTTACTTACTAAATAAATAAATAATTTGACACAACATATTGATTTAAACACAGTATATCTTCCGCTTCTAAATTAACGTTCAGTTCCACTGTAAAGCAAAGGCTGAACTGCGGCCATAGCAACATCATTTAAAATGACGGCAGCACTGATTGAGGTCTTCTGCCTTGTTACTATCAAAGTTTATTGACATTTTCCATGAATCAGTCTACAAATGTTGACAGAGCCCATACAGTGCTCTCTTTAGTGTTTACTTCCTGCCTTTCCTCTTCTGCTGTCCCCTTTAGTGTTTACTTCCTGTCTGTATTATGCTGCTGTTCCCTTTAGTGTTTACTTAATGTCCGTCTTCTTCTGCTGTTCCCTTTAGTGTTTACTTAATGTCCGTCTTCTTCTGCTGTTCCCTTTAATGTTTACTTAATGTCAGTCTTCTTCTGATGTTCCCTTTAGTGTTTACTTCCTGTCTGTATTCTTCTGCTGTTCCCTTTAGTGTTTACTTCCTGTCTGTATTCTTCTGCTGTTCCCTTTAGTGTTTATTTCCTGTCTGTATTCTTCTGCTGTTCCCTTTAGTGTTTACTTCCTGTCTGTCTTCTTCTGCTGTTCCCTTTAGTGTTTACTTCCTGTCTGTGTTCTTCTGCTGTTCCCTTTAGTGTTTATTTCCTGTCTGTATTCGTATGCTGTTCCCTTTAGTGTTTACTTCCTGTCCGTCTTCTTCTGCTGTTCCCTTTAGTGTTTACTTCCTGTCTGTGTTCTTCTGCTGTTCCCTTTAGTGTTTATTTCCTGTCTGTATTTGTATGCTGTTCCCTTTAGTGTTTACTTCCTGTCCGTCTTCTTCTGCTGTTCCCTTTAGTGTTTACTTCCTGTCTGTATTCTTCTGCTGTTCCCTTTAGTGTTTATTTCCTGTCTGTATTCTTCTGCTGTTCCCTTTAGTGTTTACTTCCTGTCTGTATTCTTCTGCTGTTCCCTTTAGTGTTTACTACCTGTCTGTCTTCTTCTGCTGTTCCCTTTAGTGTTTACTTCCTGTCTGTATTCTTCTACTGTTCCCTTTAGTGTTTACTTCCTGCCCGTCTTCTTCTGCTGTTCCCTTTAGTGTTTACTTCCTGCCTGTATTCTTCTGTTGTTCTCTTTAGTGTATACTTCCTGTCTGATGTCCTGCTGTTTTTTAGTCCAGTTCTGTCTTTTAACTTCTTTCCTTCTCTTGTGCTTATTTCTTGTTTGATTTATCTTTTTCTTTCTTTACTTGGGACATTTTGGCCATCATGAATCCAAAGTTGCTTGCTCTCCACAAATATAAAAATCAACATTCAAAATATTTCTGCAGATTGATATGATAATATGCACATGGTCCCTTGATAAGAGTGTAGCCAAGGTCTGATATAAAGAAAGAGCAGACCACTGAATGTCCAAATTGTTTAGTCAGAATATATAGGTTGTATTTATACAGTCGTTTGTTGTCCAGCACCCAAGGGGCCAACTTTTTATTAGTTATTTCCAACTATTAAAACCTCATTGTCTCTGTTTGTTTCTGTTCTGGCACACATTAGACTAAAATGCAATCAGTATAATCAAGGATATAATTAGTCAGGTACTTTGTTTTTACATGGCACATGTCCATTAAAATATAACATATTCATACTTTATATTTGCATACCTGTAATCTGCATAGTGCATGGACCCATGTGCCTTATTAGAGTCTATGTTTAGAGAGGAAAGAAGGAGGGATAGTGAAGTCAGCACAGAGATCAGGATTTATGAGCACTGAAAGAAGGGAAGATAAATGGAGAGACCTTTGAAGGCCATGCACTCGACAGTAAATATCTCACAGCTTCCTTGAATGTCCTGGTAAAGTTCAAAAAGTACGATATCAAGATTACTACCACAATTTGGATGAATGGCTGAAATGCAGTAAATGCGAAGACACTAAGATTAACCCACAAACATCTTTACTCCCACTGGAGCAGTGTTGGATGTTTTCATGAAGAGATTTTGACAGTAGTTCCTTCAATTATTCAACTCATCATTACTTTCTTCACGAAAGAGATTTCCTCAGAAAGGGATTACTTTACCTGTTACGGCCCGTCTACACTACAGGCATCAAAAAATCTTGAAGCTGGGCGTGTCTGAAGCTTGGCGATTTTTTGCGAGCAACGCGACCAACAACCAATCACATGAATCTCCCGCCCCCGACATACAAAGCAATAGCAATGTTAAAACGAAGTCAACTGGATATAAAATCCCCAAACAGGCGAAAACCTACCAGTTTCACCCACTGTCTCTGCCACCTCCCTCCATGCCTGGTTCCTCCGGTTTGTATCCCGGTAAATAGTTCTGGTCGGAAAGAACCGGGTGATTTGCTACCGTAATTTCTCGTTTGGAATATGAGGAAATGAACTGCGGTCTGGCTCTCCCAGCTTGCACGCGGTTTGATTGGCTAGCGCTTGTACTGGCGGGAATTGCAAAAACGGGATTTGATTGGCTGACGCCAGCTTCGAGCAAGCATCGAGTCTCAAAAGTTGAACATTGTTCAACTTTTGACGCCGATAGACGCTCGCGATGCTTGCAACGCCTTGCCATGCTACCCACAATGCAGTTCGGCGAAGTTTGAAAATATCCTACGTCACCCCATTCAAATGAATGGGCGAAGCGTTGAAAGCATTTTTTGACGCCTGTAGTGTAGACGGGCCGTTAGTCTCAACCTCTCTCTGACCCCACCTGTGACCATGTCTCAAACTTGAATCTTATATTCTTCCAAACAGCTTGTTGCATATAGATAACGTAAAATAATAAAAAATGAATGACTTGGCTTAAAAATCCACTACATTTGGTAAATCCCTTGTATTCAGGTAGCTGTTATACCAATAAAATGACATGTCTCCACCTCTACTGCCTTCTTGTTACAGGCTGCAACATGTCAGAATAAATTGCTTAATTCATTTTCATGTCCTCTTCATTTACGGGCTAGTAACACTTTCAAAACTGCTTGATACTGCTGCTATTTGCTCTTTACCTGTAAACACTAATTATCTTAATTAGCTCCCAGCCTCTTACATAAGCCGCTGGAAACCTTAAGTCCAGGCAAGATGTGTCAACGCTCAACAGGATCTGTTGACTGGCCTGTCATACTCTACTACACCTCCCCTCACATGGTTTTAGCTCCTAATCATGTTAGTTACTGGAGGGAAAAGTCCTTGAGTGCAGCACGGGCTCTCCTCTGTACCTTTGTCACACAGACCACGCCAGAGGACTGAGGAAGAGAAAACATGTATAAGTCATTTTTGTACATGAGTAATTATAGAAATGTGATTATGGCAATGTTTTGGAAACAGGAATGTATCATGAGCTGATCGCTTTGAGAAAATAGTAGATGTGGGTATGTTAACTTCAGGGATAACTGCAGTCATTTATGAACAGATGGCTCAACCAACATCATATTCAAGAGGCCCTATTATGCATTTAGGGCTTTCCCTCTCCTCTCGTGTGTTCTATAGGTTTTTGTACATGTAAATGGTCTGCAAAGGCTAAAATCATTGTGTTCCTTCCAGAGGGAGTTTCTCTCACACACATTATTCTTAGTGTTGCTGTCACAATGACAGCCAGATGTCTTTCTGTGTTTTCCTTCTTTATGTCTAACTGATGTTGTAGAAAGTATGTCCGCTCAATGATGGTTTGGCGCTTTTTCATCAAGGGAATGTCTGTCCAAGGTTTACTCTTGTTTTCACTAGTTTGTATCATTCTATCTACACAGCTCTTTTTCTTTTGTTAGGTAGAGTTTCCACAGTGCTTCGGCTTGTTGGCACAGTCCGCAGTTCTTATAAGCATCTTTAGCATTCATTTGGAATGTCAATCCAATCTTCTGCCCCCTTGAGCTCAGATTATAATCTCCACCGAGCGCTGGAGAACATATCTGCCTCTTAACCAGCCAAATGCTATATTATGTACAACAGCTAACTTTTTCTGTTGGCTGTTTGTTGCTGGGCGAGTAGCCTTAAACACACTCTTCATATTCCTGCGTATAGAGTATGTGTGAAACGGTGTCATTATACAACTGGAAAAGGTCATCTGTTGCTTGTACTTTGCTTTACAGTGGGAGTGTACATGGTTCATCATCTTGTGCAGTTCTTTCCTACTGGTTCTCTTCTGGGCGTACTTCTGGTTGGTGGCTCAAAATGATTTCAACGAGTTCAACTGGTGAGTCAGTCTTCCCTATATGTGATAAGAATATTTGATGGCTGCATCTGGTCCAAGTTCTCCTTTTAGTTTAACCATCAGCATCAACCAGACTGACCTTCCCTGTTCACATGGCAGGTCAGTATACAACCGCTCTGGAGCATGGAGCGACGAGACCATCCCCATCCTCGCACCCACCACTGTGGGATTCAGCTACATCACATTCTTAATGGTAACACTCTTGTTTAACCCCTAGATGTTAGCAAACATGCTAATTGCAAGGATACAACATAACTGACTAAATATGTCAACTTTTTTCAGATCTTAGCACTTTTCCATATATCCTTGGGCCAGCAGCTCAACCTCTACTGGGTTCACAAGGTGCTGTGATTTACATCGCACATTTTTGCTCTTGATTGGCTCCAAACACACTATTATAATAATGTCTTTCTCCACAGATTGGAGTGTTGGCGACGTTGTTCACCACTATTTCTGGTGTCGTCTCTGTTGATGACATATGGGGAGATGAGTGGGACATCCTGCTTGTATCACTGCAGGTTGGTCTAGAACACTAATAATAATCCTTGAGATGTTCTTTTGCCGATGTATTTTACGTGTTTTATTCTTCACTTTTTGACTAGAACTACATAGAGTATATAATAGTGAAAAAGAGGTTTAATAGCATTGAGGAATCAAGAAGCCAAGAGCTTAATTTGACATTGCTGTCGGTGTGATGCCATCGCAAGATGGTCTCTATTTCTTTGTTTGAAGAAACAGACAACATCTTTATTACCCTAATGATCCTGTCTCATTATCAAAGTGTTACCTATATTCGGCACATGTATTCATTATCTACATGTCCTCAAAGTTCTATTCTGTTGTAAAAGTCACGGGTCCAAAAATGAGTTTCCAGACCCAAACCGAACCTGTCTATTATTTGAAAGCTGTTATCCATGAAGACCAACACACTTCCCAAGTAGAGGCAGACCCAGTCGGCACAGTTTTAACAGCTTTCACAGTTAGAGTATAATTGTCAAAACAAGTCTTTCTTAATGTAACGTCCTCTAATTTTCTTCTTGGGCATGATGCATTTAATCTAGCCTTGACAAGAACCTGAAACAGCCCTGCTATTTAACTTTTTATTTCAGCTAAAATGTCACAATAATTGTCACAATAACGGATGACAAAGGACACCTGTTAAAACAAATCTTTGCTGTTTTTGGTATCTAGCATGTAGATGACTTCTATCTTTAGCATTGGTAATTTGTTATCATCTGTGAGTCTGACCTCTGACCCACACAGCTCACCCATCATGGTCAGCTCCGCCGACGCCTGGCTCTGCTCAGATCCTTTAGGGTACAACATTTAATGCAAAACAGAGACTGACCCACCGACTTTATAAACCGTTGACTCAAACGTATTGAGTTCCCTGGTTGGGTCTTGGGTCTTGGGTCCTAGGGTTCAGGTGAACATATGAGATCTTCTACTCTGTTGTTCTCTCTAATAATAAGTTCCGACCAATTAACACCAGTGTTCTATATTTGTGTTCCTCCCAGTCAACAGCACCTTTCCTGCACATTGGAGCCCTTGCAACAGTCACAGCTATCAGCTGGTTGGTGGCTGGATATGTGGTCCGCAGAGACAGATCCAGTAAGTGTTCACTCCCTGTCTTTAACCAGGCACATTACAGATTCAGAGTTCTTTGGAATATATAATGGTAATCAGGACTGAAGAAGCTCTTTTTAATAATGAAATCATGATTTTGTTTAGTTGTCAGGTAGTTGCATTAGCACACAAATACCAAAATCAGAATAATAAAAAATGATGAAAAGTAATTATTTATTCTTTAATGTTATATGATTATTAATGTTCTATAGGTATTATAATGGTGCCGGGTTAAGATGATTGTTAGTTTGCATGCAGTATTGTCTATGAATACAATACTAACATCAACTGGATAACCAACCATGTTAGCTCAACACACAGATCATACATTAAAGCTCAGTGAATAAAACCAAACAACACATGTAGAAACATAACATAAGATAGGCGGTGCTATGCTTACTTAGCTGTGAAAAGATAATGTACTTAAAAATGTGCTATGCCCAGGAGATGTTCAATCCGTGAATTCAAATGCTACTTAGCTGATAGCTTCTTAGCTGTCTGTGTTAATGGGGTTGCTGCCCGTCAAATTGTAGTTGTTACAGGTCAGTAAGCTGTGGCTAGGCTGAGGATAGTTGTCACTTTGTTTTTTACCTTGCAGTATGCCATTGGTTCTGATCTAACTTGTTGCTGCAATTGTGAAGTTAAAGATCACCTATCCGCATGCAAGCGGTGAGCTCTGTGAAGAGAACTCTGTGTACCAGCAGAAACTCAGCTAAACGTGATAACATCTCTCTTATGCGGCTTTCACACCAGCGCTTTTCCCTTTCTAGCTCAGAGCGGGAGCTTTTCTGGTTCAGCTCCGGTTTCCCTTTTCTGCTCCCGCTCTGTTCACACCGCCCAGCACCCGACTGGTGCTGCCGCTGCTGCGTCATGACGTCACCGTTTACATCGCTGATTTGCTCACCAACGGCGTTACGGCGCTCACAACAACAACGGGGAACTGCGTCGGGTCGATGATCGTGTTGCTTTTAATCACACGAAGCCAGAATAAATTGAATAACGACTTCTCCAACCTTATGCTTTTCTCCAGAGTGCCGTGGTTCATTGTTTATTCATGTGTTTCTGCAGCATTTACCGACCGCTGCAGTGTTGGCTGCTCTTCCACGGGAGTTTATTCTCCTCCGTTAGCTCCCGGTTAGCTCACACTGCAGCGGCCGCTCTAAAGTATTCACTGTCCGACTCACACAAGCAGCTGATACATATCCCCAGTTCCCCTTAGCCTAAGTGAATGTGGGTCAGTCTGAATTGACGCTGTTTGGCATCACAACGCTGTTATGAAAGTTTCTCTGGTATAAAATGGGTGATGTTAGCATAGCAACCGAAGCTAAACTGACTACTTGCTATTGCTATCCTATTGTGGCATAAACCGTTTTCTACAGGCACATTTTACCGGCATATTTTTATTATGATTCTACTTGTGATAGTCGGACACGACAACCTGTGCAGCCCATGTATTGATTCAATCCGATAGCTGCTATAATACAAAACAACACGTCTGCCTCTCTCCACAATGATCAATAACAGTGAACGGATGGTCAAAGTAAGGTACAAATAAACAGAATCACACGAAGCCTGGTTAGTGTTGCCTGACTTTATAAAGTGTGTTTATAAGCACTACTGCTTGTAGGCAGGCATGACAGTCGACCCATGTTCAGGGGAGGTGGGTTTAGTTTCCTGCACGCCTCGACGTAAGAGAGACGTAAGCGACGCCACCTCTTAGCTCCGAAGCTCTTGCCTCTAGACCGACAATTTTTTGGAGCTGGAAGTGAACCGGATTCCGGAGCTAAGAGCTGGCGCCGCTGCGGTGTGAACAGGAAAAACCGGCGCTTTTCAGGCTCCAGCTCCGAGCCGGAGCTGAAAAAGCGCTGGTGTGAAAGGGGCATTAGACATCCTGTTGAATACACAGACACAAAGCTGCGGGAGGGGATTCAGCTAGCCGACTGCCACGGCGCAACCTATCGTCCCTACATTGAACATTGAACTCCTGGACTTTGCCATGAGTTCAATGTAAAGCCATCCCACATTTCAGTAATGGCGTCAAGTTCTCAGCAAATCTGGATCAGCTCCGTTTTACCCCCGGTTTTAGAGATGTGGGTAAGGAGGAAAAGAGAGGGTTGTATTTTCTGACACTTTGTGAGTCTCTTTACATGGGGACACATATTTATGTATAAAAGACATCAAAAAGTGCAATTTGCATAATAGGTGTCCTTTAAGTCGACTGTGGAGAGACAACACATCAATAAATGCTTGCTTTTGTTAGCAGTGCTGGCGAACAGGAAGACTTTTAGGCATCTGCTCACGTGCGTACTGTTAAGGCCCTGTCACACTGTCCCGAAATTGACACCCGATGGACACACGAATATGGAATTGTGAATTTCGCACGATGATGGCCCCGAACCACACACGAAGGCAACATTTACATTACATTTAAGACATACAACTGCAATGAAAGTACCAAAAACAATTGTGTTACAGTACTATGATACTGTACTGATATCTTCAGACTTTGTTCTTTACTTTATCCGTCGTTATATGTAGAAAATATTACGTTTTCTCCGTAATGTTGTTTCCATAACAACAACAACTTCCTGTCAACTGTCCTTCAAAATAATATATTATATCCTTTTTAGTTTCACAGAACACAAATTGGGTTATTTACATAATATATTTACATGATTTTGTTGTGCAATAAAACAACCCGATGGACACACGATAAAGGAAATGTTCAAATTCGGCTGTGATCGTAGCAACATCGGGCCATTGGTGAGGGCATCTTAAGCCATCGTATGACCGCCGGTGGAGTTTCTCAGGCTCCGGCAGCAACTTCGTGAGCGGTGGCAAAATCTTTGGCATGCCAAAAAATTGCCGAAGGACCTTGCGAAGGTTCATTTTCGTGTTGAATTCGTGTGTCAATTGTGCCCTTCGTAAGGCCATCGTGAGGGCATCGTGTTATCATCGGTGCCATCAGGCATTCGCCCCGATCAGAGTGAGGGCGAATGCCCGATGGCACCGATGATAACACAAAGATGACACGATTTGACAAGATGTCCTCACGAGTGCCTTACGAAGTTGCCGCTCACTAAGTTGCTGCCGGAGCCTGAGAAACTCCACCGGCGGTCATACGATGGCTTAAGATGCCCTCACGAATGGCCCGATGTTGCTACGATCACAGCCGAATTTGAACATTTCCTTTATCGTGTGTCCATCGGGTGTCAATTTCGGGACAGTGTGACAGGGCCTTTAAGGAAGACGGTCCAGTGATAAGACAGCCAAGCATGCGACAGGCCACCGCAGGCCACTCCCGCACTTAAATACTTTCAACAAAAACATTTCTTAACATAATGAGTAGATGAGACATGCAGAAGATAAAGGAAGTGAACCTAAAAGTCTCTTACGCCTCCCTCCTAGATTTTCAGGTGACGGTGTTGGTGATCTACATCATCATCCTTCTGGCTGTCTATTTGGCACCACTCACATTCAGCTGCCCCTGCATTATGGACCGGCACACACTCCGACCCCGGCCAGACATCATTGGTCGACGGGGAGCTCCTATGGTGAGTTCATTGTTCTGTGTGAACGTGTCACCGTCAGATGTTGTTTACTTGATCTTCTGATGGATCAGTTGCTTTATATGTATTCTACTGAATATTGTTCTATTTTATTTCATTTTGAAACAATATCATAGGGTAATTTCCATAGAGTCTTGCAAGAATGAGTCCAAAACCTGGAAAAGGAGTTAGTATTCTGGCATTTTTAGGCTGCCTAAAGTCACTGGTTTTTGGAAAGTGTGTTTTTGGTTAGATTTCCAAAATAAGGTATGTGTTGAACACAAGCTTAGATTAATACCTTCTGTTTTACGACATAAAATTAAAACGTAGCGCCCCGCTTGTGAATGTTCGAAGATTTTACACGTCTATGTTAGACAGGTAAACACCATCAAGCAGAAAATTAGCCACTTTTAGCTTAGTGGTGGTAGCGTGAAGTCATGTAGTTGGATTAAAGCATTACGTTAACTTTCACTTCTGCTCATTGCATTTGGGCTACACTTCAACAATTCTAAAAGTGGGGTTTATATTTTGAGACAAAAATGTGCAATTACCATAAACATGTGTTAGTCACGGATCTTGTGGCCCTTGTAATGCTAATTTCTGGGTTGGCCTACACAAATACATCATCAATGCAGCATTCTGTTGGATACTTTGATCAGTCACTCTGTCACTCTGTCACTCTGTCACTCATCTCTGAAAAGGCAAAATATCATAGGATTAGTCAAGTTAAATAAGAAACAAACTAACAAAAATGTTGGCTCGTCAAAAAAACAATAGGGAAGTACCGGTAAATATAGTTTTAGTTTTAGCAAGGCATGGCCATCTTACCAGCTAGCTTTCATTACTCTAGGCAAGGCAAGTTTATTTATATAGCACTTTTCAACACAAGGCAATTCAAAGTGCTTTACAAAAAATGAAAGAGATTAAGAAAATGGCAACTCTAGTTGGCTTCTTGGCTGTTTGTCTTAGTGTCATTCTCTCTCTGTATTCTCTTCTTGATGTTTATAGAGAATTTCAATCAACATATAGTACCCTATTTGTGGTGTGTAAATATGCATGATGCAACTAGTTACACCTTTTAGGCTTTACTTTAATGATATGCCGCAAAGTTTTGTTTCATGCTTGGGTTTTTAAATGTGCCTTTATATCCCATCCTCCTGATGTGTTTTCAACCCCCAGTGACTAACAATAGTCCCCCCCCTTTGCTCTAGCTGGCCCCAGAAAACACCATCGTGTCCTTTAACCGAGCTCTGCAGAATGGAGCCAGCTCCCTGGAGGCAGACGTCACCATCAGGTTATTAATCACACTTTAACATTTTAATCATGGATTATTTAATTTCATGAATTTAGAGTGCTCTGAAGTTCCACAGTTGAGAAATAGAAGCATTTCGATTTAATGAGAGAGATGCTATATATATTAGGGGTGCACCGAATGGGAAATTCTTGGCCGAAACCGATACCGAAAATAGGAAACAGTTGGCCGAAAACCGAATGCTGAAAATTATTAATAGAAATATATATATATAATGTATACATTTTTTACCAATGTTGTTCAGCTACCTGATTATGGAAATAGACATGATTATGGCAAAACTTAACTTAAATAATAATCACTATTATGGGTCCATAAAACATTTATTCAGCACTTTTGAATGCATCAGTACATTTATATATGTCATGTATTATTGCTAAAAAACATTATATCGCAGTCTTAGTGTCGCCAACTCGTTTCTAATATGCAAAGACAACAAATGCGTCTATGATGTATTTTCGATCAGACGAGATCTCTCTCCCCCGTCTGTGTGCGAGGGGGCGGGGCAGTTTACACACACGCAGCTGCGACATGCAGCGGAGCACACTGCGGAGATGGCGGAGAGAACGCGCTCCGAGGTGTGGTTAAACTGTACCCGTCTCGATGTGGAGAATACTTGTTACCATAAGTGCAATAAGAGTTTAGCATGTAAGCACGAGCAATTTGTCTAAACATTTAGCAAAAGTGCACCGCATGCAGACGGAGGAATGTACCGGGTTCGACCGTCTTTCTAGCAGCTCTGTAGCACCATCCACGAGTAACGTTTCCACGTCAGGTGTTATGTATGCTAGCAGCAACACACGGAGTTAACTACATTATACAAACATGGGTTAATGATTAGAGGAAACTGAGTTATTTAGTTTGTTAAAATTTCAGCTATTCTGTTTACAGTCTGTCATCAGATTATTTAATACGATTTGTTAAAGGCTCAAGGCAATCTCGATGACAAAGGTCAATGTTCGCCCCCCTGTGAGCCAGCCGGGAGCATGGTCGCCGCGTCTTTATTACGTCATCACAACAACACGTTAGGTTACCAACGTAAGCCTGTTCTGACATTCGGTGATATTTTTTCCTTTTTAACCATTTTCGGCCGATAATTTTCGGTGGACGAATATTCGGTGCATCCCTAATATATATATAGTCACATGTTGCCTTTCGTCTGGAATGTTTCAATGAGCTGCTGTTTTTATTGTTAGGAAAAGGTTTCATTTTACTAAGATAAATACTTAAACATAATTTGTTTTCTAAAATACATAATTTCTGACCATTTTGTCATTCCAGTGTAGACGGTGTTCCTTTCCTGATGCGGGACCGCACGTTGAGACGAACCACAGACGTTGGGAAGGTGTTCCCAGCCCGGCAGTTTGAGGATGCTTCTCTCTTCAACTGGACAGAGATTCACTCTCTAAACGCAGGCCAGTGGTTTCTGAAGGTACTGGAATCCACTTCACCTCAACTCATATTATTTTGTTTGATTTGTTTGGGCAAATTCCCATCAATGACCCAACATTACTCCCATATTCTGTTGCTACAAATAACTCCCTTTTTGTATTGTGAAATTGTAGTTGGTGGTCAAAGGAATTGACCATTTCTGGTTTAGAAGACAGACATGACCATACAAAGACAACAAGTCTAAATCTAGTCTAAAATCTTAAGATAAACCAAGCATGTTTCAAATATTATATATGCTAATTGTCTACCGAAGAAAATACTGTACGTTCTATCTCTGTGTCTGACTCTCTTCTGACCTCTGCTCCCAGAGCGACCCCTACTGGACCGTAGAGACCCTGACTGCCAGGGACCGCCTCAGGATAGGCAACCAGACGGTCTGCAGTCTGGTGGACATGCTGCGTCTGGCAGCCAGGGCCAACAGCTCCGCTCTGCTCGACATCCGCCGGCCTCCACCGGAGCATCCGCGCCACCGCAGCTGGTTCATGGACACGCTGTGGGCCGTGCAGAAAGCTGGGATTTCCCCCAAGAGGGTGAGGACTGTAGGTCCCTCCATAATATCCTTCCATTACTAAAAGGTGCTGCTTGTAGGAACCCCAGTAAACCATGCTGAAGTAAACAGCTGTCACACTGAAAAACTGAAATGTTGACTTTAATTAAATGTTTCATATTAACAGATTTCACTTTACTGTATTAGGTTAGTTGAAAGCAATAATATTAAGTTGAACCTAAATGTTTTATTTAAACTTAATATTATTGCTTTCAACTAATTAAGGTCAACGTTTCAGTTTTTTCAGTGCACTGAGATTGGCTGCTGGTATTGTCCATGTAGTGTGGTAATTGTCAGAATACTGTGGGAGTTGGACATATAAAGGATTGCTTTTTTCCACAAAGCAAATCACATTTACTCTTCCTTTAGTTGAAATCAGTTGCAGAGTGCTTTCAGGACTGAAAGAAATAACTATATTTTCCAATGAAGTGGGGTTAGGTTGGAAACCCAAAATAAATATATTTTCCAACTTAGTGACCATCAAAAATAAATGGGTGGTAAGATGTAATAAAGTTATTCCTGTATATCAAATTATATTTAAAATATATTCAACAAGCAACGCCTTCTTCTATAAAAGTGTAACATTTCTAGATATGTAGCAGTGCAATCTTCCTGACCAGGGTCTGTCCATGTCATATGTGTGTGTGCCAGGTGACGTGGACCCCCGACACGGACAGGGGGAGGGTGCGAGGGCTGCCGCAGAGCGCCAATGAGAAGCTGTCACTGGAAGAGATACGGCAGAGGGGGATAACAAGCCTCACCCTGCACTACAGCAAGGCCAGCCACACAGACATACAGTGAGCATCCACTGCTGGAGACAACCATTGTATTGATTATATTTTATTTTTGTCTTCCATGTTCCCTTGCAACTGCATACTAAAAATGGGAACTAAATCAAGAAGCATTGGAAATGTAATATTAAAGAGAATGCTTTTAGACATGAATCTGTTTTCTCGTGTTGAAGAGTACTGCAGAAGTGAAGCCTTAAGTGTCTCCAGAGGAACGTGATAAATGTCCTCAAGTGATTCACTTGAGTCAGCATTAAATGTTTGTAACTACCCACTTAAAGAAGTTGTTTCTGATGCAGCAAACAACCCCACAACTTATCACCAGATTTTCATTTATATGATGTTGGTGATTGTTGTATGGAAATATGCAACATAATTTAAGTTTATTGAACAAAATTAACTTTTTTAGTGCCTTTTATATATATATATATATCGTTATATGCATAACCATCATACTAAATGTCAACAGTGTAATCCACTTTCATGATTTCAGGAACAAAAAACGTTATAGCATATTTAGGTGAAATACTGTAGGTTGTACTGTATGTGTCACAGTGTCACAATGCATAGATGTCTGATAAACCAAACCAGAATCAGGTTCATGCCAAGTACATTTACACATGTACAATCATTTGTGAAAAACAAAATGTGTGAAAGAGAAGCAAATACGAAACTATTACAGGTAATTTAGCAAATTATAAAATTACGAAAATAAATGTTTACAAGAAATATAAATATACAAGAAATATAATAAAAAGTAAGTACAACAATAATAGTAGTTACTCTGAAAATTAAAATATAAGTAGTATATCGAAATTTAAAGGGGTACATTTTTTAATTCATAGCATTGTACAACATATGCAGAGGAGTGTGCAGGGTTCACAGTGATTTGAATGAGGAAGGGCTCACATGGTGTCTGTTGGAGGATATAAGAATCTGTGTCAATGGGCCATTGTTGAGTGACAACATCTAGAGTGACAATATTATTTAGCCTGAAGTTAAACGAGAGTGAAAACGAGAGGATTATTTTCCTCATTTTAATTTTCCTTTCCCGCAGGGAGTATCTGGCCCATAATGTGAGTGTGACTGTGTCCGCAGTCAACGCGCCCTGGCTCTACTCCGTCCTGTGGTGCAGCGGGGTGTCTTCTGTGTCCTCTGATGCCCCACAAGTCCTCCGAAAGGTGCCTTACCCCATCTGGCTCATGGTAAACAGCTCTGCTCTCTGTCTCTCATCTGACATCACACACACACACACACGGTCACACACACGGTCACACACACGGTCACACACACGGTCACACAGCGAGACGAGAGGACAGCAGGAGAGAGGACAGAGACTGACGAGGGCCCAGCGAGACCCGAGGCGAGGACTCAGAGATATGAGGGCTCAGCGTGGCGTTGGAGAACAACAGGACCCTGGGAAAGAGTCTGAGATAATCAGAGACAGAGTACAGCTGCACAGTCGCTCTGTGCTGAATAGACTTTGTGCTGTGTAAGCTTCAGGAGAAATACATGATGATGCTGACCTCCAGTGGCGCTGACTGAAAACTGCTCTTCTTTTTTCTTCTCTTGCAGAGTCGGAGCGCTTACCGCTTCATCTGGTTCTCGTCAGATCTGGTGTCCATCGCCTTAGTCATAGGGATTTTCTGTTTTCAGAAGTAAGTAGTTGTTCTGTGGTCATGTTGAGTGTAACAGATGTACACTGACAACACACACACGAATGTTATCAGGAGCAGCACAGATACATGTAGAGTGACTGTACTGTGTGAACACCATCCTCTGACCTGAGCTCAGCCTCTACACTGACTCTTCATTTTATTTTCCCTTTTTTTCCTAATCTCAATGTTTCCATATGTGTCCTCCATGCTATAACCTCTCTTTGTCCTCTCTTTCTCTTGTCCTTTAACATTTGTCCTGTGCTCTGCCTGATCTGCATGCAACCTTGCTCCTGCCCCCCGGCGTCTGTCAGCTATCATATGATCAGGTACCCTCTGCCTTTCTCTCTGCCTCCTCGGTCCCTCCGTGTGTTTCATGCCAGACACCTCAAGGCCGACTTGTTCCTTTCTGTCTCTCTACTTGTCTACCTCTTGTTTATCAAAGGACATTCAATTTATTTTTTAGATAATGTTATATGTATCCCAGAAGTAATACATGTTATAGTTTTAATGGCACACTCGTTGCCTCCATGTAATGCTGTGTGTGTGTGCTGTGCCAGGTGGAAGATGAGCGGGATGCAGAACTATAACCCGGAACAGATCGTGCTCAGCGCTGTGGCCAATCGGACTAATCGGGATCTCAACGTCATGAAGGAGAAGCTCATATTCTCAGGTGCAGATTTGATTCCATTCACAACCTGAAACAGTCTGATGAGTGATCGAATGAGGCTTTAAATGTCCTCAGAGAAGCACCAGGCACTCTGAGTCCATAGACTTGCAATTCAGCATTAATATACATTAATACTTATAGATCACTGTATACATTGTAGTATTGATGTTATTTATTTTAGTACAATATTCACATTATTATTTAGTTTATCTTTTATTCATCATTTACCTTTTTTTTCTTATGATTTCTTATTTTATTTTATCAGCACATTCTTACTTAAACTTGTCATGTTTGTATGAATATTTGCATTTAGTTTTTTATTTATGAATCTTGTATTTTATTCTAAAAGTTCTAAAAGTTATTGATTTGGATTCTGATTAAAAGGCCATGCCCAAAAGCTAAATTATCATATTTCCAAAAGATCTTTAATACGTTTAGTAAAAAATCAAGATGCATGAATATCATTTGTTGTGACAAAGAAGTATGTGTTTAATAAACTAAGAGTTGTATACATCTTTGGAAAGAACAGACAGAGATACATGTTCTTCACATATGAACTTTGGACTTTGGACAACAGCTGTTTCATTACATTTCACTAAGTGCAATCAAACAGCAAGTATCCTGCAACAACAAGAGCTTTTAATAAGCCAAACCAAGGTGCAATAGAAACAGGTTTTCAGTCTCTCCTGATGTCATGGGGAGCCACTGTTTGAAGCCACACTGAAAAAACGGAAATGTGGACTTTAATTAAATGTATTATGTCAACAGATTTCACACAACTGTATTAAGTTAGCTGAAAGCAAGAATATTAAGATGAAATAAGAAATATTAAGTTTGACTCAATATTATTGCTTTCAACTAACCTAATACAGTTATGTGACATCTTTTGACATAATACATTTAATTAAGGTCCACATTTCCGTATTCAGTGCAGGAGAGAAAACTGTTGTGTTGCGTTTATTAAAGAAAAAGTGGCATCATTCATCTTTTTCAGAACTCAACAACGGGCTGAGCAGCACAGAGGACATCTCTCTGTTTCCTGAGAACGGTTATGCCATATACTCTCATGGAGGCCTCGGGGACTGAACCACACTGCAGCTACAGCCCTGGATTACAGAACTGATATCAGTGAACTAACCCCAGAACACATCATGGAAATCAAATTGTTTCTAAAATATGGACAATTAACGTATACACACTTGAGTGCAAGTTATGTGTAATATATGTGTGAATATAATTTGATTGTGAATTTTTACCTTAATATACAGACAAGTTGTTGCAAGATTTCTCAAAATAAATCTCCTTTTTCCTTTGAAGTTGCTGTAAGAAGTTTTGTTTCTTGCTGTTTTTGTTATAAATGGGAGCACAAAAGTTTTAAAAAGGCTTTACTGGGAACACATTCTGTTCATCGGTTAAAGGTGGGGTAGGTAAGTTTGAGAAACCGGCTCGAGATACACTTGTTGTTATATTCCATGGAATGCTCTTAACATCCTGATAGCAATGAATATCTTAAGAGCTTTGACAAAAAATCCATAAAAAAATGTCATCTGTGGAAGCCGTAGTACTGTAAAAAGCACAACCAATCATCTGAGCCGGCCCGGCTAAAGTAACTGGATGGCCTACCTGCCTGTCAGCCTTCCATCTGTGCACAAACTTATCTCGTGCCCTCATTGGTCATGTGCGTGTTCCTGTGTGTTGGAGGAGGGGCTCTGTAAGGAAGTGGCAGATTTTTTCCGGCTGTGTATTTTCAAATGTTAGCGCACTCGAGCCGGTTTCTCCAAAATTACCTACCCCACCTTTAAGTGGTCAGCTGACCAATAATGTTCCTGCCGATGCGGTTAACCATTCAAAATAACATCATGTCACATTTTAATGTAGAATCATGACATCCACTCATTCAACAACAGTACCAACCAATATTGATGTGTTGATTGAAAGTAATACAGACATACAGTACATTCAGTCTGTTTGCTTGAATGAGCTTCTCAAAAGTAACATTTGAGCTCATAAGGCTGTAATGTTGTATTGATCCACATTATGTTCCTCTCTTTTGTTTTGTACTTGAGGAACTTGACCATGTAGTGCTCTGTATTATACACTGATGTAAATATAATTTTCTTTTTTATGGTTTGGACATTAACTGTGTATTTTCTGTTTTCATGTGTAATCATTATTACTGTACTTCCTGGAGTTTCACGAGTAGTTATGGGGGGGTTAAAAGAATATTGTGGAACATTTTCTAATCTTTTCTTCTGCCTCTTCTCTGTCATGCCATGATTGTTTACTGTGTAGTCTATTAGCTATTCCAACTTTCACATGGCTGCCTTTTCGTTGAATTAATGGACTGGTAGAAGAGTGTAGAATTTGTTTTCGTGTTTTGGTTTAATAGTAATAATGGTACAAATTTCAAGTTACAACTACAGCTTTAGTGGCAGACATGTTGACTGTACAATAAAAGTTGTCTTTTTTTCTTTAAAAAATGTGATGTGGTTTGTGACATTTATAAAAATGGGAGGATTATTTAATTACATATATTGTACTATACTTACAATATCATTCTCTTCCAATAGTTCAGAAAACTGAGCTCCATACACCTTCAGACCCTGGCCCCGTCTCAGGTCGGTTAAATGAAATCTGGGGTTACGTAATGTAACCCAGCTTCTATGAGTATAGGCGCAGCACTCTAAGGCTATCGCTATTGGGTTAATCTGATAGCTGACACTGACAGACTTTTTCCACGCCCACCTATGACGTGGGCCCCACCTCCGGGCTCACTTCCGTATAAATAGGAAGTAGTTCCTACAATCCACTCCAAAAGCTTTTCTTCAGCTATTCGCGGAGCCAGTAGGGCCCGAACCTTAGAGGGCTGCGCCTATACTCATAGAAGCTGGGTTACATTACGTAACCCCAGTTCTATATCGTATAAGGCTTCGCCCTCTAAGGCTATCGCTATTTGGTTAAGGGCGAAGCAGGATGTAGTCTACGCCCCACAGGTTCCGTCCGTTACCAGAAGCACAAAACACACCTACTCAGTTAATAACCCATGTCCATTTCGCCATGCGTAAATTGAGCATCACATTCCCAGGGAATATAGCATTAAAAAATGAATATTCTCCATCAGGGAACGAAGGTAGGCTTACTCGGCCTACCTGTCGTTTATAAAAAGTAGAGATCGAGTCTCACTTGTTAAAAACGATCAAGAGAGGGGAAAAAAAGGCAGCTCTCTAAGTGCCGACAGGCAGGAGAGAGGGCATGTAATTGAAAAACCCCGACATTACTCATTCTGGCAGGCTATTCAGTACTGAATGTGTCAGAGAGGAATGGGAGAAATCCCTCAAATACAAACGAATACAATAACAGGGGGAAGACCAAGATGCAGCAGTGCAAATGTCTTTCACTGTCATTCCTCCGTGCAACGCCGTAAAGGAGGTGAGGAGGAGGAAAGAAGCCATCCAAAGTTATCACTCTCGATCTAAAACGAGCTTGTGATAACCTTTGGCATAAAAAACGGGTTAGGGCGCAAAACAGCTAAGCTGCCATCTCCTTGGATCCGGAGACATCACGGAGCCACAGAGAGAGCAGACCAATCACTCACCCTTTTAGCTGATGTCAGAGCCAAGAGCAGAGCTACTTTGGCTGACAAAAACTTCAGGGGGACCTGATCTAAGGTTCAAATGGAGCTTTACTCAGTGCGCGTAACCCTAAAGCCGAAACCCATTGAGGCGCCAAAGTGCGTGACACAGGTCTGAGTCTCTGTGCTCCCCGTAGAAAACGTTTTGTCAGAGGGTGACTACACACCGTGCTGACACCAATCTACGTGGCAAGATGAAATGGCAGCAGCATATGTTTCGACCGTGCTATAAGCCAATTCCTGTCCAGCAACAGCTGGAGGAACGACAGCACGAGGCAGGGGGCCTGTAACGGGGTCCAGGCTTCTCCCTACACCCCAAACGGAACATTGTCCATTTGGCTGTGTAGGATGTGTGTTCAGCAGCTGCGCTGATCGAACACCTCCCTGGTGATTTATGTAGGCCGCCGCTGCTTTGTTGTCTGTTCGAATCAACACATGTTGATTGTACAGCAACAGGGCGAAGTGCTGGATTACTTTCCATATAGTAATTCCAGCACGTTTATATGGAGAGACAGGTGACCCGGCCACTGTCCCCCCACTGCCTGCGACATGCACGTTCCTCAGCCTGCTAGAGATGCGTCTGTGAACACTGTGGTGTGAGACGTCACTCTGCTCAGGGGCACCCCCACTGACGTGGAGATTTTTCCAGTGGGTTCAATCCAAACCCACGGAAGCAGGAATGTACACCATGCGTCTCCTCTGACGCACGGGGTCGATACGCAGGCAAATAAACCACCTCTGGAGTCTCCTCACTGTGAAGGAGACACAGGGGGATCACCACGTGACCAGCTGATATCATGTCTAACAGCTGCATCACGGAGAGGGCTGTCACCGCCCCGCGGGGTGTGACGCACCGGAGGAGAGCTGTCCGAGCTGCTTAAAAACGAATAGGTTTTTAAAGACAGCCGGTTTATGCAGCGAGCCATGCTGCCTATAACCGATAGGTTAGGGGCAGCCGGCTTAACCGGTGAGCCTTGCTGCTTATTATTATCTATCTGTCCATCGAACACACGCGTCGCCACTCTGAGTAATACTCTGAGAGCGCGCGACCTGCTCTGGATGTGCTGTGGTTGTCATAGTGACGAGCCACATCAGAGCCCTCGCCGCCGTTGCCCGTGAAGCAACCCAAGAGGGGCCCGGTCCGAAAAGGCTGCGAGGGGGCCTCCACACGCTGCATCTCACACCGGCTCTCATCCTGTCTCTGTTTAGGAGAAGGCTCGTAAACTGGACATTGAGGCGCGTTCACGCTCAAACCTGCTGAGGAATGAGCGGAGGTGTGTGCAGTGCTATTCACACAGTGCGTAATAACAGCCCTGGGCTCATTACGACCGTGTGTAGTAGGCACATCTGGGACAGAGGAAAAACCGTGCTGCCTGCTAACCGACAGGTTAACAGCTGCACCGGAGGACAGCTGTCACTTTTTCCATTCTCTGCTGTGAGAGTCGCGCTCTCATGCGGGCTGAGTTCAATTCCACTCCCAGTTAAATGTCTGGGAGTTGATAATGAAACCCAGGCTTTGACAGATGAGATACGAACTGTATCGTCTGAAAAAACCGCTTCCTCCCTGGAGCGAGCCAGCCACAGCCGGTCGTCCAGGCAAAATAACCCTCATCCCCATTCTGAGTAGCTGCTCCAACCGTCTCCACCCACTTTGAAAAAAGTGTGTGGAGCCAGGAATGAGAAACGCAGGAATTTGCTGTGTTTCGGGATGATGGTTACGTGGAGGTAAGCATCCTTCAGGACTATGGATGTGCACCTCCCTGGTGAACACACTCCAGCACCTGTTTGATCGTCAGCATGGGAAAAGGCCATTCCCTTGTTGGACACTGACAGATCGAGGATGGGTCTCATTCCCCCCGCCCCGTCTCTTTCGGGACCCGAAAATAGCGGGAGTAACAACCCCTGATTTTCTTCCCTTTGAGGAACCCCGGGAAAAGGCTTTCTTTAACCAGAGTTCCTGCCGCTCTGCACGGAGCGCGAGACACTGTTCCTGGGATGACAGGACTTCCTGTATCCCGAAGAACTGCGGCGGGGAGAGGCGAATTGCAGAGGCTACCCTCTGCCCATCCGCCTGCTCATCCATCTGTCCATCAGACACACTCGCCGCCACCCTGAGTACCATACAGTACTCTGATAGCGCCGGGCGTACATTCTCTGGCTGTGCTGTGGTTGGTGACAAACCATGCCAGAGCCCTCCACATGCTGCATTTCACACAGGCTCTCAATATGTCGTCGTTTAGGAGAATACTCGTAAACTGCGCGTTCACGCTCAACACCACTAAGGGATGAGCGGAGGTGTGTGCAGTGCTGTCCACACGAGGCGTAATAATGGCCCTCCGTGGGCTCATTACGACTGTGGGTAGGAGGTGTCTGAGACAGAGGAAAAATCCATGCTGCCTAAACCCAAAAAGTTTACGGTAGACGGATTTGAATAGCAAGCCCAGCTGTTTCATCAACCGATAAGTTAAAAAACCCAGCCGGCTTAGGCAGCGAGCCATGCTGCCAAGTAACCAATAGGCTATTGGCAGCTGGCTTAACCGGGGAGCCTTGCTGCATATTAACTTCCCTCTGTCCATCTAACCCACGCGCCGTCACTCAAGGCGCGAACCTGCTCTGGATGTACCGCACCAGTCTGGTTTCAAGGCAGGTCACTCCACAGAAACTGCTCTCATTGCTGTCACGGAG